AGATAGATAGATAGATAGATAGATAGATAGATAGATAGATAGATAGAAGGCTTGTACACACTTCAAATCATTCTTCTTCTCAAGGGATAAGAAAAGAGACCAGAAGGGGAAGAAAATGCCCCAATACTGTTTTGCCCCCAAAATGTTAAAAGTCACAGGCAAAAGTAAAACAAAAGCTGGAGTTAAAATAATTATACACTTATTATTGACCTAAACTTATAAGAAATCACAAGGGATTCTGATCTGATTTCATATATGAAATTAATATAGAAACACATACACACACATTCACACATAGCTTGGGCATAAAAAGGAAAAGTCTGCTACTTTTTTAATACATTCATAAATAGCGGTGGAAAATCTCTACTCATGAAGAAGCTCTTGGAGGCAGTTTGGGGATTTGAAAATCTCAGGAACTTCACTGTCCAGCTTACAGATGACCTTGTATATGGCCTTCTTCCAGGAAGGATCAACATCTTTGCCTGCGATAATGGCATTGAAAAACTCTCGTAATGTGATCTGAGCCACTTCCAGGAATCTCTCTGGAACCTGCTGATACAAGGAGACAATGGCATTAATAAAAGTTTTCAGTTTCAAGTCTCTGGATCTTCAAAGGAAACTGAGCTAAGTCCTTGCTTTCAAAAGGGAGCTTACATAGCACCTGCATTTTCTAAATGTAGCAGGACTCTATTCTCTTAGGCAAGGCTGTTATATATAGTACAATAACTTTTAAAACATGTGTTAGCTAGCTTTGTAAAGATGAACTACAGAATGCTAGTATTAGAATATGAACATCTGGGTTTAAAGGGTGCTGTTTTTATAAGATATAATTAACAAAGGAGGGAATGAGGGGGGAAGGTGATTGCCTTGAGGTCTGCAGGATGTAATGCTCATATACGAATTCATTACTTTCTCTAAGAGCATTAAACATGTGCTAAAAGCAACTTCTGGTCTTTGTTTCTGTGTGCTCCTAAGGTACCAACTAATGCTAAAAATCAGCAAAAGAAGAGGGCAACTATGAATTGTTTCTGAGAGAATCCAATAAAGCTTTACTCTTAACAGCTTGATTCAGAAGTTACTCAATTTCTAGTGATTCCATCAATGGTACCTCTTCAGACATAAAGCCTTATTAAAATGAATGTATGCAGCACAGGCCTCTGTACATGTGATGACCATAGATCAGGAATAGGTAAGATACAGTCATTTAAAATTTCTTCATTCACAACTTCCTGCAGCCCCAATTGGCATGGACAATGTAACTGATATCAGAACTGTATTATGGTAACACTCAGAGACTCCCAGATTCCTCATTGTATGTATGTATGTATGTATGTATGTATGTATGTATGTATGTATGTATATATGTATGTACATATAAAATACACATACACATACACACACACACATATATATATATAGTATGTGTACACACACATGTGTGTATTTTATATGTATATACACACACACACACATATAGTATGTATACACACACACGTGTGTGTGTGTGTGTGTGTGTGTGTGTGTGTGATGTTTGGAACTAAGTGATTAAGAATGTTTTGTTTTCATAATATTTCATTACTATCTTTTGGGGGAAAAGGAACTTGTTCCAAGAAGACAAGCAACTTTGAATCATTCATTACCTTATTGCTACCTTTCCATTTTAAAAAGCATGTAGTGAGTGTAGATTGATGGCTGCATCAGTAATTCACAAGTCTGTGAGTAATCACAATCTGAAAGCAAGTATCTTTCAGCTGCTTAGGCTGAGTAGTTTCTAAACCCATTTTTCAACAACATATTTTTGCAAGAATTCCTCATATTAAAATGCAGCTGAGTGTTAATGTTAGACAGAAGGAAAAATAATTACATTGATTCTTTAACAGAGCTCATATTTTGCTTTAAATAGGGGAACAAATTTAACTTCTGCCATTTTGATGAAAAGAACCTGGCTAGCAGAAGATTGTCTGAGATTCTGAAAAGTCATTGCCAGAAAAGAACAATATTGATGAGACAGATTGACAGCTTGACTCACATGAAACATTTTAATATGTTTTCTCAAAGTAAGGACTTGAATTCAGCACAAGCATAGGCACTCCTGAGGCAGCTGATCAGTCAATAACCCCCCTCCCCCAAAACCCCAACCCAAAACAAAAAAACAATATAATCTTCACAGATTCTTTGCAAAGAAGAGGGCAATTGCCTCAAACGTAGTAGCCATAAAGTGTGTATTTTTTATTAAAAAAAGGAAAAAGAATCAATTAAAATATAAGCCAAAGAAACAATTCTGCATGTAGGATTTCTTCATACATTCCTGCAAATGGGTAATTTTTTAAAGGCCAAAAACATAGCTGGAAGGTGAAAAAATGTAATATAAAAAAAGAAAATGTGAGGTAGGAATGAAATAAAAGTCTTTATCTTCCTTTGTTGCATCATTTTTTTAAAAATACAGTGCCAGAAGTTTTTATTTATTTATAGGGATCAAGTAGCTTTCCAGAAGGATCCATTAAAAATTTGAACCCCCCAAAATAGTCTGTAATTTCACATTTGGCTAATTAATCCTTATGCCCTATTGTTGCAAAGATGTTGGCCCAAATGTTTTGCATCCTACGTGGAAAGCTTGAAAATTTAGCTTCTTCTACTATACATAATGCACTGAAACTTTCTTACCACTGTAGCAGATCAAACACAAGCACTTCACAAATAAGATTTTGCCATGAGGCAGACATGTGATCAGCAGCTACTGAAGTCCACAGAGATTGCTTGAATACACTCAAAGGTGGAATTTGTACCCAAACACTAGACACATTTTTAAAAAAATAAATTGATTTACAATGCAAAAGAAACACTAAATGAAAACAGTTAGAAAGGCAGTCCAGACATAATTTGTTGTCACTGAAAAAAAACCTTTTAAGCAGTCAGCACATTTGTTTTATTTTAATTATATGAATACTGAATCTAATGATATATGATGCTTCTAATTTCTAGAATTATAGAAATTCTTTCCTTAACATTTCCTAAATGTTGCACGCAGTAGACATGCATCTGTAAGTTTGGGGAAGGTGGAAGGCATTTGCTAAATTTTGTTTTTATATCTCTTCCTTCGGAACTGTGACATAAGTAAGGAGGAGGGCAGACAAATATTAATAATTGTTTTATGGGTGTTATTAAAATGGCAAGAGAATTTCCTATAAAATATGAAGCTGCCTTATGTTTTTTTTTAAATCTAAATTAGGACCATCTACTTTCTGGAGTTGTCAAGATTGTGGTTTAATGCAGTAATGCAGTTTTGTTTTTGATTTTCTTCAAATGCCACTTTGGCAGAAGAAAGCAACTATTCAGAACATAAGTAGAACTCTTGGAAAATATGGTAAAAAATGGAATGATAAAGGAAGAAAACATGAAAGAATAGCTGAATGAATTCTCTATATCTTTAGCTGTAGGCCTTTAAATGAATTGCTGGAAAACCAGGGTCAAGCAGGTGTGAAACAAATTTGCCAGGCCATCAGTGCTATTTTTTGTACTAAGGAAAAGAAGAGAGGCCAACTTTCCATAGTCTGATGTTTCTCCAAACATTTTGGACTACGGTTCTGAACATTCCAGTTAACAGGGAACTAGAGATTATCCCAAACAGTTGTATATGGAAGGTAGGAATATAAAGATAAATTCTTAATTATCCTTTCCCATAGAGTAAAATTTAAACTTCATAAAATTTCAGAATGTGTTTGTTATATCTTCATTCTTCCCCATCATCAGAGATTTACTGACTTTTCCTACCCAACTTTGACTTTAAATTAAAATCAGATGATCTTACTTATCATTAATCTTATATTCATGACTGTAAGCCACCTAGAATCGCCTTTGGCAAAATAGACAGCATATAAGTTTAATAAATAAATAAATGCCAATATTACATCACTGACTATGTACAGGCATTCCTCAACTTACAAAAGTTCACTTAATGGTTTTTTAAAGTTACAACAGCACTGAAAAAAGGGACTTGTGACCATTTTTCACACTTAGGATCACTACAGCATCCATGATCACTTGATTGGATGTTTGACAACTGACTCACATTTATGACGATTGCAGTATCCCAGGGTCATGTGATCACCTTTTATAACCGTCTGACAAGCAAAGTCAATGGGGAAACCAGATTCACTTAACAATGGTATGAACAACTGCAGTGATTCACTTAATAAACATGGCAAGAAAAGTTGAAAAATGGAGCAAACCTCACTTAATAAATTTCTCACTTAGCAACATAAATTGTGGGCTCAATTGTGGTTGTAAGGTGAGGACTACCAATAATCACTTAAAGATAATCAATATTTTCCAATTTATGTAATCAGTTCCACAATTCAACAGCCCTACAATCCTGTGAAAAACCGGCTGGCCTAATGTTAACCAATGAGTCCACCCACCTATTCACCTATTCACTAGAACTGGTTGTTAACATTCTAAGCAGTTTGGAGAATGGGTTGTTAGAAGAAATTACTGGCCTAATCCTGTAAGGAAGGCAGGAAGGAAACATTCTGGTGTTGCTTACAGAAACTGCCTCTCCATTAACCCTTATTACATTCTTGGCAGGACTAGACTTCCTGTCCTAGGAACGTTTCTGGAGTTTTTTTCCCTTCCTTTGCTGGTACCTTGCTTGTTTGGAGTGACCATTCAAAGTTACAATGGCACTGAAAAAAGTGACTTATGATCATTTTTCACACTTAGACTATTGCAGTATCCCCACAGTCATGAGAGGCCAGGCGAGGAGATGCGTGCCTCGATGTGAGTGATGTTGAGTTGGCCACATCCAGCCAGTCACATGACCACCAAGCCACACCCACCACTAAGCCACACCCACAGAACCGGTTGTTAAAAAAATTGAATCCCACCCCTGCCCCTACTCCCCCATAAAATACACGCAAAATATTTGATAATAAGGATGACATGGAAAGGAGATATTAAAACAGGAATATAAACAAATACTTTTCTAAATGTAAAAATAAAACATTTTTGGTGTTGTGGTTGTAGGCACAGTGTCTACTACAGGGCTGTCAAATCTCGCCCTATGGGCTGGATGTGTCACATGCTGGCCATGCCCATGGCATGGTTTAGTGAAGGGGGAAAAAGTTCCAATATGTCACGTGATGCTGCCGTGACAACATGAGTTTGACACCCTTGGTCTACTGCAATAAGCAGTAGAACAGACCAAAAATAATAGGATTCCTTAGGAATCTAAATCAAATTTAACTTTCTATAATAAATTATCTACAATCAGAATAAAGAGTAGCCAAATATGGAGGTCATACTTATTTAGTTTAGTTATATGAAGTCAGGAGGAACTTAAGTGGCTGTTACAGGTAGTAATCCTTGCTTAACAACAGTAATTGGGACTGGCAACTCCATTGCTTTAACAATGCAGTTATAAACTGAGAGATTACACGACCATGCCAACTTGCAACAGCAGTTGTAGTAGTCCCAGTTGTTGCCAAGTGAATCACTGCAGGTCGCTAAATGAGGATGTCACATGATTATCCTTTGTGACTTCCTGGCCAGCT